TATCAAAGGAGGAGGGACCACAGACAAACTGCCATGGGCGGGACGGTCAAGGATCTCCATTTCATTCTTGAGGATGGTAGGTTTGGAAAATTGTGGGTGCGGAATGAAAAAAACAACAACAACGCACACATACGCATACATACACACATACACAGCCACACAAGGCGAAAATGAGTTGCACGCGATTGTGTTTGTATTTGTCTGTTTGTGTTTTCTTTGTTGTTGTTTTTTCTTTTACTTGCTGCTCCTCATATTACCGGGGGGTCGCTGCTGCTGTCTTCTTATTGTGGTTTGTTGTTGCTTTTGACACCATTTATCACCTGCGCTGGCGTTAAAGGGGACTGAGGCGTGGCGGCGCAACACATTCCTTTGGGGCGGTCTCACAATTGGCGAATTGCTCTTACTATTCTTGCTCTCTGCCCCGCGATCCCTGCCTGTGCGTCTGCGTGTCCGTCTGTGCTGAGTGCAATGGGGTTCCCGTTCCCTCTGCTTGTGCGGTACATTAACCGCTGCGGCGCGCTGGCGTACTTGGGCCTGCAGTTGGGTGGAATTTTAACTCTTTTCTGCGGCATCTCGCTGATTGTGGGATGCACAGTGGCCATCGCCCGCATCGCCCTGCCGTTGCTGGCGACACCGGGGACTCCGTACTTTCTGCTTCTCTGGCTCACGTGTAGTGTGCTGTCGTTTGCTATTTTGTTCAATTACGTGGCTGCGGCGTCGTTTCGGGGCCCCGTTGTGGATGCGGATGAGACGCGGCGGCTGGCAGTTGAGGGAGAGTCGCTGCCGCTGCAGCAGCGCCGTCGCTTGTTGGATGCACCTGCACGTCACTGTGGGAAGTGCCGCCGCTTCAAAGCCCCACGTGAGCACCACTGCCGAATGTGCAACCGATGCGTGACGAAGATGGACCACCACTGCCCCTGGATCAACAACTGCGTCGACGCCGAAAATCACCGCTACTTTTTTCTGCTTCTCGTATACTTGTTTGTGTCCACAGGCGTTGCCGTCCTCGTGCTCTCCGTTGCGTACGCGCGGATACTTTGGCTTGAGGCGCCGTTATTAGGCATATATGGGCCTTGCATCAATCGCCTGCTAACTTTTCCCATGTTTTTCACGTGGGTCTTGTGTGTCACAATATTTTTTTGCATGTTTTTTTTCGTTGGCTGGACACTGTTTCACATTCTGAGAAACGAAACGCAGATTGAGCGGTTTGTTGTGGGGGAGAAGGAGCGGCAGTCGCGAAACACGATGGTGCCGTTCCGCAACCCGTATGACCTTGGCCGCTGGCGCAATGTGTTGATGCTCTTAGAGACGAGCGATGATCCGGTGCTCCCACGGGCCCGGAGCGGGGGCACCGTGGCGAAGGTGGCGCTGCTGCTGTGGCTTGCACTCCCAACGCTTCGCCCCTCTAGCTGCGACGGCGTCCACTACCCCGCATTTGACGAGGAGCTGCTCTTGCCGGTGTAGCAGGGCACAAGGGAGTGGAGGGGGGGGCAGGCGGCAGAACGAGTTAGACGCAGTGACTAAACACGGCGGTCCAATGGCGTCTCACTCGTTTTCTGCCCTGTACCAAAGTGATTCTGTTTGTGTCGTTGCGCTTTTGTGTCTCGCCTTGGCATGACGCGTCCTTTTGTTGTTGTTGCCGCGTCAACTCCCTTCCACTCTATCGTTATTTATCTCTCTCTCTTTTTTTTTCTTTGCGCGTTGTTGGGATGTCGATCACCGTCGCGTAGTTTTTATGTTCCCCTGGTTTATGACCGCGAACGCCGTGGTGTTTGCCGCCCTGCTCCTCGTCGCGGTGGTGCCCCCGCTGTACATTTACGACCCCGAGAAACACCCCGGGGAATCGCTTGGGCCACCCCCCGCCGGCAGCATCTTTCCAGATCGTGCGCCGAATTTCGCGGTGCAGCAGAAGCTTTACATGCTTTTTACGCTGCCCGTGTGCGCGTTACTCAATTCTCTGTTTGTGTACTTTACCTACTACCGGCACTATCGGCAGATACAGTTTAGAGCTGAGTTAAGCTGCGTGGCGCACGCAAACCTCAGGACGGCTATCATGGTTTTTTCCGAAGAGCAGCAGATCAATGAGTACAACGGCGTGAATATTATTGGGGGCACTCGTAGCGGTGGGGGGCTGTCGAATCACAGTCTTCTTGCAGTACGCTTTAATGCCAACAAGACTGGTCCGCATTACATGTGTCTAGACAATCGACGGCATATACGGCCGGAGGGCCTTTCCTTGCAGAGGTACTCCTCAACGCCATGGTTTCCTGAGCTGCAGGAGTTGCAGAGGGTTGTCGAGGTGCAGTTTCTTCGACTAGCAGAGACGGCGCGGAGCGCCGCATTTCGGTGTTTTTGCCAGACTGTACTGCTGCCCTTTGAGGAGCGGATGAAACTAAAGGCGGGAAGCATGGCAAACGACATCCGACTGTTTCTGCGGCGGCAATCAAAGTGGGTGCCTGAGCCTATGATGCGGGTGCACCTGACGAGGATCGAGCTGGAGCGGAGGCGCAAAGACGTCCATGAGAACAACTTGGAGTCGGAGCCGGTTAGACTTTACCCTTGACCGGGTGCGCTGTGTTGCTGCTTCGTCCCCATAACGAGAAAAAAGTTGTCTACTTTGATGACGCGTCGTGCAGAGCAACTTGTTTTACCGACTTATTTTTTTTGTTTTTGTTTTTGTTTTTGTTTTTGTTTTTTTGTGTTGTTTTTCTTTTTGTTTTGTGTTGTTTTGGTTTCCGCGCCTTTGGGTTGTGGCTCCGTCGCCTTCCAGCTGGCATTCTCAAAATTATCCTCGTCGACAGGAGCCGTAGGAGACTTTTTTTTTTTATTTGCGTGTCACTGCGGAGGAGTGACAAGTTGTGGGGCGGGTCGCGCAGGCTTCTTTCTCTTTCGCAGTGTCTCTCTCTCTCTCTCTTTCTCTTTGTATTCTACTGCCGCCCCCACTTTGGACGCGCGAAGGTCCATTGAGTGTGTGTGTGTGTGCTTGCAAATATATGTATTGCATTAGATTTTGATTGAGTGAGCGGTAGACTGAAAGAACTCCCGCCGGAAATGGCTATGTGCAGCGTAGGCCTGCTCATCTCGTTGCTCCTCGAAGGATTCGTCTTTGCTTCGTCGTACGTGCTGCTCTTCGTTCCACTGCTGTATTTTGAGAATCGCCAACAATGCGTCGCGTACGGCACTGTTATGACTGTCGTTATGACGCTGTGGTCATGCGCGCTTTATTTCTTCCGCGTTGTTCGCCCGATCCAGCACCTCAACCGCTCCATTCGGCAGGCTGAAAATGTATTCAAGGGGCTCGCGCAGACGCCCGCCCCGTCCCTGCCGGAGGGCTTTTTTTTGCACTCCTCCTCCCCGAAGAGTACGACTTGCGTGTGCGACGACCTGCTGGAGGAGCGACACCGGCTGGAGAACGCGCTGCACGGCCTTCACCTCGACTCACGGCCCTCAAGCCATTTTGTGCAGGACCAGCGCTGCGCCGTGGCGAACCTTTTGGCGGCGCTCCTCCTCTGGCAGCAGAGCTTGATCGACCTGACCCAGATGAAACTGAAGGAGGCTGAGAGGGCCCGCGCCGGCAGTTGTCGCCAGAGATGTGTGTCGCGGCAGGAGGGTGTAAACGGCAACGGCCCCGACCATGACCGCCCCGGGGAACGAAGGAAGTCGGCGCAGTTCATGCTGCATCCGCGGTCGAATGAAACAGCATTCAACCTGGAAACGCGTGCGGCGAGCGCCCCAGAGGAGCCGGAGATGCCGTTGTCGAGTGAACCGCCGTATGGTCCGCTCTTCACGCCACTGGCCACCGCGGCGGTGGATTTCGAGGGAGCCATGACGACCCCTGCCGCTCAGAAGCCCAACCCAAACAGCCTACTAGCGGCAGTGCGCCACGTGGATCCCGCGGCCCGTCTTGGCGCGGACCCTAACGAGATGCAGTTGGAGCTGGTTAACGCGCCGCTGCCGCAGGTGCAGGAAAAAGAGTCCGCGCAAGCAAAAGATGATGTCCCCAGGAAGAAAACTGTGGACGCTAAAATCACCATGCTAAGCCCGGAGTACTTGATAGAGCAACAGTCAAGGCGTGACACGGCGATGGCTGCTGCAGTGAATGCGAAGCCGATATCCCTCGCCCCTCCCCAGGGCGAATCGATCGTTGCAGCAGCTAGAAACGACGCCCAGCGAGCCTTGGAGAATAAAGATCGCTGCCTTCCAAGGCTCCGACGAGGAGACCGTTTCGCCACCGACAACAATAATGTTTTCTTCTACTTGCTAGTCAAGCATCTGCAGACCCCGGCGACGACAATTGGGTTCGAAGCATGCTTTAGCTCAACTGAGGATGATCGCTTCCGTGCGGAGAACTTCACAAGGGCCCCCGGCGAGCGAAAAACTTGGAGGTTCTCTGAGGCGATGCCGTTTGAGGGATTTGCTCTGACTGCGAACGGCAGACGTGTTTCGCTCAGTGGTGCGCAGAAGCTGCTTGCTGGGTTTCGCAGCTGTGAAGTGGAGGCAGATGATGATGTGGAGACAGCAAGTGGGAGGTCGGCGGCACTGCAACAACGTCCCGCACTCGTAGGCAAGGAGAGTGCCTCCCACGGAGATGCTAGGGAGCGTGCCTTTATTCTCTCATGGGCCGCGCTTCCAGAGGTGCCCATACGACTGACGATGCTGACAGTAAATTTGGCACCCGGCGAGTCTTGCACGCTCCCCGTCCTGGAATGTCTTATCAATGATGTATTTTGCATTTTGACGTCGGCTGTTCTGACTGTGGAGTTAGTTAGCGGTGAAAGTCGGCCTGAACGTGGGGTGTCGGTGGAACTCCACGGCGTCTCTATTGAGGATACCTCTGAGGTTGATCAAATTGCTCCGGCGGCCGTGGAGCCTGGGGAACAGCTGGGCTTTGGAATGCCGGTCTCCCAGACAATCAAGCTGTGATGACGGGGGTGAGAGCATCTAGGGTTACTGTTTAAGTTTGTGTGGTGATGAGCTTTTTTGTATCTATCTATTGTATTGTGTTTTATTTTTATTTTTGGTATTGGCCTTAGCGGCATTTATATATATTTCCACTCTTCCCACCGAGATGCGTTGTTGCGTTCCTCTTTCTCACCTCACCGGCGCCGCTGGAAGCGCTAGTACTTCTAGCCCTAGCCTTGGTTGCCTCGACTGCCGCAAAGATTACCTTTGCACGGAGCGAGTCGTGTTGGGGTCAGAAAGCTTGCCGCTGTTCCTCGCCTTCTTCATTTAGATGTGCATCTATGCATGTATTCGCACATATGTATATATGTATCTTGCTTTCTTCGCATGTGTATGTGTTTGTAATTTTTGCATAGCTCATTTTGCCTTCCTCCTTTTTTTTTTTTCCTTTTGTGCTCTATGCGCAGGAGTGTCGGTTTGGTTTGGAGGAACGGCTGTTACGGACGATGCGTCGCGAGGCTCGTGGCGGCGCTGCCTCACTGGAACTCTCCAGCATGAAGCGCCCGCTGTGGCTGCTGTTGCTGGTGATGTCGTTTTCCCTGGGCGCCGCGTCGACCTCCGCCGCAGTGAAGGACGCAGCACCGTTTCGATGCATGCGCCCGTTTGCGTCGCTCCCACGCTTCTCCCCGGCAAACATGGACGCCGCGGAGAACTGTAAATTTGGCTCCTTGCGCGTCATCAATGCGACGGCCAGGACGCAGTGCCTGCGCGAAGACGCGGCTCGCGGGGCGTCTACCGCCTCGGAAGGTGAAAAACCGCCTCCCACGTGTAGTGTGACGCTGCACCTGACGTTTCAGACGGTGGGGGATGAGGTCGATCGCCCTGTGGGAGTCTCTAGCGTGGCTGGGCACAGGCCGGCAGTTGGGGGTGAGGCATACCGTTTTTCCTTGCGGCTTCGCGCCTTTAATGACAGCGTGGTGGAGTATAAAGGATTCGATCAAAACGGCTACAGTATGTGCTGTGACCTCATTCAGGGCGCAGAGTGCGCGTGGGCTGGGGAGGGGGGCAGCAGTGCGGCCGCTCACTCTCCTGCGGTGACGCAGGAGGGCGATGGCGGCAGCACGCCGGACGCACCCCGGCGGCGGGAGGCGGTGATTGTATCGTGCCCTCTCCGCAGCCCAGTGGTGCCTGGGGTTGTCTTTCGCGGTGTCGTCAGAAAGCCGCTTCACCGCCTTCTTCTCACGGAGTGGGAGGCCCGACTGGAGTTCTGGCGCGGCCGGCGAGAGGAGCGGGAGACGCTGGGTCGCGTGCTTGTGCCCTTTCGACTCACCGAGGAAGACGTTGCGTCCGCCTACGCCGCCGATGCGGCAGCCACAACGTCAAGGGCTGTGACCGCCATCGACGATTCGCCGTCGGGCGAACAGGACGTTGTTGCGCCGCTGGAGACAGGGGAAAATGTTGGAGAAAGAAAGGGGTCTGCGGACTTGTAGCTGCCGCTTTTGCAGATGCACGGCTCTTCTAGTAAATTGGAGGAGTTGTGCCTTTGCGCTTTTGTGACGAGTGGCTGAGATTGTGCTGAGTGGCAGTGCGGTTATGGTTATTATTATTGGTCTGTGCGTCCGCCGGCTGCTGCGGGGTCGGGTGGAATACAGGCGGGTTGCATTTTTTGAGGGTACGCATTTGCGCAACGGAGGGAACTCTAAAGTGGGCCCGCACTGTTTTGTTTTGTTTTGTTTTTTGACGGACTTTATTTTTCTGCGCTCGTTCGTTGGTTTCTCACATGTGCCAGGCCGTGCGCTGGCAGTCCTCTCCTTTTTCGCTCGGGCGGTTCTTGCCGACTCCCGTGGTGGCTGTCTCGCCGCATCGTTCTCTTGCTTTTTCGTTTCCTCCGTGGAGCTTGTTGTTGTTGTGTTTTTCCTCTTTTCTCTTCAAGAGGAACTTCGTGCAGAGGGCCGTAGCTCCCCTTTTGCGTCGAAGCACTGGGAGGGACGCTGCGTTGAACACCACTAGTTTCTTTGTTTTTGTTTGTGCCTGTTGGTTGGGGCGGTGCAGGACCGCACCGGCGACGGCAGCAGCAAAAGGCAGTAGCATCGCACCTCAGCGAAGGGGCAGGAAGCAGCAGAGATATATATATATATCTTGCTGGTGCTGGTGGTGGCGTTTTTAGCTTAGAGCCTGCGTAGAAGAAGGGAGAGGAGGGGGCCTCCAAAGGAAGGGGGCGAGAGCGAGGGCACAGCGGGGTTGCGTTCTCCATAGCCGCTGCGTCAAGCAAATCTCTTTATCACTTGTTTTTTTTCTTTTTAGATATATTCACCCCCCACCCACCCGTCCTCGTTCCAACACACAAAAGGGCACGCCCGCGCGCTGTTGTGTCTTATCCCCTTTTTTTTTTCTGTGTGTGTGTGCGTGTCTGTGTTGATTGACTTTGTGCGGGCCGTGGGACGTTGGGAGATGAAGCGGCGAGAGGCCGCGGCAATGTGGCCCGCCGAGCGCGTGGCAACGGCACCGGACGTCAGTGGAGCTCGCAGTAGGCCGCCGCCCCACCCCGCGCCGGCACCCGCGTGGACCCCCCGCTTAGATGAGAGGGAGAAGGAGAACGTGCATGAGACGGCTGCCGCGCGCCACGCCGCAGAGGGGATGCGGGAGGTGCCTGTGTTAGGCTGCCGCATGAGGCGGAAGGACCCCATGCACTTCGGCAACCCGCACAACAACACCGCAAACACCTTAGTGGAGCTGGAGTGCATTCTCATGTACGTGGAAAGCGTAACGTCGTCGCTCTCCCACCGCACGCGTGCCCCGATGCCGCCGGAGTCTGTTCGTGTAATATCGAGCTCGGTTGTGGCCCCACACCGCATGGCGGTTGCCGAGCAGCAGGAGTTGGAACCGCATTACTCGCTTGCCATGAGCCTGTACGAAAGTGCAAACAGCCTCCTTACCTGCATCTCCAAGCTCGGCTGTGTGTCTCTCACCCAAAGTGACACACTGGACGGGATTGAGCGGAAGGTGAATACAACGGCGCGAGACGTCAACGTCGCACTGGACGCAATTGCGGTGCGGTACTCGACTCATGAGGTGTCGGACGTGCAGGAGTTTTTCATCGGAAACCAACAAACCCTTGAGGAGTGTCGTCGGGTAATTCACGACCTGACGCAGGCGGCGCATCAACTACTCGTGCTGCGCCGCGTCGTCGCTGAGCGCGATGCTCCGCGGGCAAAAAAGTTGTTTTATGGCCATCAAGGCGGCAACCTCCAAAAGAGCGTGACGTGCCTGCAAAGTCCGATTTTCACGTGGATGGAGAAGAAGTGGTTTCCCGCCATGAATGCTTGGAACAGCATTCTCGCCCGGGCACGCGAGGAGGCGGAGACCTCTGACGTTGCCTCCGCGGTTGCACGAGGGCGACAGGAGGCGTTTGCCCAAAGCGATTTAATTGGCGATATCCTGCGCCCTGACGAGACGCTCTCGGATTTGATTTGCAACGAGCTGGTGAAGCCGTTGTCACATTTGGCGGCGTCTTGTAAAAAGACGCAGCAACATCTGAATGCGCTTCGCGCCGCCGTTGCGATGCCGCACTTGAAGGAGCTTACAGAGTGCGTCTGCGCCGTGGAGGAACTTGAGGCGGCTGGCCAGCTGAAGTTGGCGGGGGACCGTGCACTGCTGAAGGAGGGCAAGCAGCTTGTCCTCCGCCTCCAGCAGGTGGAGAACCTGGAGGCGGCGCTGCGTCTGGCGACTCAGGTTGGCGAGACAGTGACGCTGTTTCGCGCAATACACCACTCGAATGAGGTGATCCTGCAGCTTGGCATCGCAGGGGACGCGGCTGCAAACCGGGAAATCGTGAGCCGCTGCAACGCATTGCTTGAGGAGATGAGCAGCGGCAGCAGCGCCGTTTCACCCGCCGAATTTATCGCGGCACGTGTTGACACGGCGTCGATAGCCGTCGCGCATGTGCCTTCGCATATATGGTCCGCCAACGCGACGGCGGCGTACCAAGCCGCCTGCCAGAGCCTCACCACCCGCGCGGCGCAGGATCGCGTTCGCCTGGACCTGAAACACGTTCTACAGGAGGGGGGGAACCTGCAGCTGAACGTGTCAGGGAGCACTGCGGTGGACGATGCCAGCAACACCTCCTCGAGCAATCGCCAGCTGCGGTTTGCACGGACGCAGAGTCAGTTCCCGAGGTTTAAGGCGGTCGGGGTGGGTGAGCTACGCGACGTGCTAAGGCGTGCGCGTGAGGTGGGTCTGAGCGAGCAGTTGGTGCAGGATGGCGAGGCGTACCTGCGCTCCGTTGAGGCGCTGAAGCTGAAGGTGCACTTTGACGCCCAGCTGCGGGTGTTGCTGATACCAGACCCCGAAAACGCAACCTTTGAAGACATCTACAAGAAGATCTCGCAGCTCTGCGGCGAGCCAGGAGATGGGGCGGCGAGCTCGCCGGAGCGAAAGCTGCGGTTGCGTTACCAGGACAGCGACGGCGACTGCATTTCACTCGTGACGCAGGAGGACTGGAACGTGTTTCTGGCAGAAGAGGCCCCCGGTGGCGTGTGTGGGGCAAAGCTTGAGTTGTACTGCGACTATATGCAACTTCCACACGCACGACTCACAGACACAGTCTTCACCCCACAACCTGTGGAGGGGGAGGAGGTGGAGATCTCCCCTCCACCACTGACGGTTGGGCCGCCAGCGCAAGCCGGTGTTAAGGAAACGGCGCTGCGGTCAACACTCCTTGCCCAGCAGCGTCGCACCGGGGCAGTCATGGATGAGGCACAAAAGAATTGCGCGAGGCTGGTGCGTTCCTACAGCACGGGGGTGGGGTTGCGTCGTTCTGAGTTTTTGTCGCGGTACAAAGCGCCGCAGCGGACGGCGATGGACGACATGTGTCTGCAGAAAACCCAGCGTTCGCTGGGCGCGGAGGTGGAGTCAGCGGGAGAGAATTCACAGCCGTCGCGGCCGCGGAAGGCGAGGACGCCCGGGGCTGCGCCCCTCGGCGCCAAACCCGGCATCGGCGGAGGCTGCCGTGTGGAGTCCGTGAAGCTCAGGGCGCAGCCCGCTTCGACAACGAGGCTGCCGAAGCCTCTGATCCCGGCACCGCATGAGAGAAAAGGGCGGGCGTTGCCGCGGGCTGCTGCCACCGCCCGTGCCGCGACTGGATCTGGCGGTGCTGCTGCTGCTGCTGCTGCTGCTGCTTCCGCTTCTGTCGCCACTTCGACCAACCATATCACTCCCACCTCCACGAACACGTCTACTCCTGCTACCAGCTTCGTCAAGGCGGCAGCCACGCCCAACGCCAACGCTAATAACTCGACCGTCGCCGCACGCACTGCCCCGCCGGGTGCAGCACCCTTAGAACTGGAGGCGGTCAAGCGGTGGAAGGACGACGACGCCCACATTGAGTTACAGACAGTTGCATCCGTGGCGTCCACTTCGCAACGTCCTGCGCCCAATGTCAAGCAGTGCAAGACTCCTGTGAAACGGTACGGGACTCCTGTCAAGCAGCTCGCAACGAAGCGCGCCAGTAGTGGATTTACGGTTACCCCGTGCTCGAAGAAGGTTGGGTTCGCTTCAAAGGAGGGCCGTGCGGAGGGTGCAACGACAGACAACACACGGAAGAAAGACAGCATCACTGTTTTGGAGGAAAAGCGTGAGTGGAGCACCGACATGTTCATGCAGAGCGACGTCTGCACTGTGGCGAGTGAACAGACGACCCCACCATTGAATGGTAAAGGATGTGCTGGGAGGCAGAAACCGGCAAACGTGTCCACTCCCAGTAATTCCTCACTAGGAGCTCCCTCAGTTGTTCAGCCTCCACTTTCTGGTAGTGCGAAGAAGAAGGCGGAAGTACTGCGACAGCTGCGGCAGCTACGTGAGGAAAACCAAAGGGCCCTCAACGCGGCCCTCACTCATCGGCGAACAGGAAAATAATTTTATGCGGCCCATGCTACTTTTTTTTTCTGTTTTTTGCTAGCTCGGTTTATTATTTTACCTTTTTTTTGTGTGTGTGTGTGCGTCTCACTGGCGTTAAATTCTTCTTTTGTTGTTGTTGTTTCTATGGTTACAATTCTAGCAAACGATTTCTCGTTCTCCCGTTCTTTCTACGTGTTTGTGTTTGCGTGTGTGTGTGTGTGTGTTTACGTGCCCCAGACTCTGTGAGAGGATGTCCAGGTTGTTTCTGTCTTTGAGTACGCGTGGGCGCTTCTTGCCCCCCTCCA